GAGAGAGAGAGAGAGAGAGAGAGAGAGAGAGAGAGAGAGAGAGAGAGAGAGAGAGAGAGAGAGAGAGAGAGAGACACAGATGGACAGACAGAGAGACAGACAGAGAGACAGACAGAGAGAAAGTCTACATGACTCCCATGTGCTGGGTGTCATGTGGATGGATTGTGCGGACACATGAGACTCCCCGTAAAATAGATCACGAGTTCAAATCCTGATGGAACTCGATGGATTATGAAATGATGATAAGGGCTGTCTTCCTTTAAGAAGGAAGAAAAGGAAAAATAAAAGTTTCGAAAGGAGGGGGAAGTCCTCATGAGTCGTGACGGAATAAAACAAAAGTTACAAACACAAGCGGGAAACCAAACGGCACTAACAAGAAGGATTGAATGAATGAGGTCATACTCACGTTATTCCCCTTTCACCTCTTTTCAACCAACTTCCTTTTTCCTTGTGTGTGTGTGTGTGTGTGTGTGTGTGTGCAGAATGCATGTGCTGTTGCCTGTGACAAATCAGTCAGGGGACATACCAACAAGTCTATGTGACAGAAAAATAGAGAGGCCGTTGTGATGAAGATGTGTGAAACAAGCAAGCGGTGTAGGGATGTGATATATGCAGCTGCAAGTTTGAGCATTAGGGCGAGAGACTGATGACCTACGGTAGCAGTGATGTTCTGTTTTTTTTTGTTTTTTTTGTTTTTTTTAATGGAGCTCCATCAAGCTCTCCATATGTTACTGTTCCTGTAGCAAGGCTCGGTTTGCTATTCCTCGATATGCTTCCCTTAAACTGTGTCTTCAAACCAGCTATTCATTGCATGCTATTCCTCTAGCAAGGCTCGGTTTGCTATTCCCCTATTTGCTATTCCTCGCATGCTATTCCTCGCATGCTATTCCTTCAAGGCAAGGTCGAGAAGTACATTGTCTATTCCTCTACCAAGGCTCGGTTAGCTATTCCTCGCAGGCTATTCCCTTCAAGGAAGGGTTGTGAAATACACAGTTTTATTCCTCTAGCAAGACTTAGTTAGTTAGCTATTCCCTTAGATTCTTCCTTTGGACTAAGTCCTCCGTCTAGCTATTCCCCACAGGCTATTCTTAGCTATTCCCTTAGGTTCTTCCTTTGGACTATGCCTTCTATCTTGCTATTCCTAACACTGTCTATTTCTCTAGCAAGACATAGTTAGCTATTTCCTTCAATTCTTGCTTTGGACTGTGTCTTCCAGATAGCTGTTCCTCGCAGACTATTCTTAGCTATTCCCTTAGATTCTTCCTTTGGACTATGCGTCAATCTAGCCATTCCTCACAGGCTATTCTAAGCTATCCCCTTAGATTCTTCCTTTGGATTATGTCCTCAATCTTGCTATTCCTGACACTGTCTATTCCTCTAGCAAGACAATAGTTAGCTCATTCCCTTAGAGATTCTTCCCTTGGACTATGTCCTCCATCTAGCTATTCCTTGCAGGCTACTCTTTGCTATTCCCTTAGATTCTTCCTCTGGACTATGTCTTCAATCTAGCTATTCCTAACAGACTATTCCTCCAAGGAGTGGGTCGAAAGGAATGAACAATGACTGTGTTCTGGAGATGATGCATGGATCAAATAATGGAACTCTGCGCAAATTTGTTTGAGTTGAGATCAAGCACAAAAACATGGTGGGTGAATTTGAATGGGAATGAAAGGAAGAACTGGTCGGCATGTGTGCGGTGCAGTGCGGCTGAATGGTACACACACACGTAACGAACGTGCAACGGTTAATAGGTTTTGATCATGAATTCAAATCCTGATGGATTCCGTAATGTTATGGGACTACCTACCCCATTTAAATAAATAATTCCAAAGAAGGGGTCTGAATGTGTGCACTGCAGTGTGGCTGAACCGAAGGTGTTTTGCAGGCAGATGAGAACATTCGAAGCATAGGATCGTCACTGCCGGAGGCTGTCGAGACGTGCATTGAAGCTGCGGGCCATGAATTTGACGTGTCAGTTCAGCGCAGCCTGCTACGTGCTGCGGCATATGGAAGAGCATTCTGCAGGTAAAGTCCGCTCGTACCGTTGTCCTCCTCTTGCACATATCTCTCTCCTGCACAATAAATTCTCAATACCTTGGTGGCCATCTGCTGTGCTGCAGAACTCTGGGCAGGCTTAGGGTTCTGGGTTTAAGCTTCAGGTTTTTTTTTTTTTTTTTTTTTTTTGGGGGGGGGGGGGGGGGGGGGGGGGGGGGGGAAGAGAGGGTTTTTTCTTTTTAAATAAAAAAAACATTTTCCCGGGGTTCCCCGGCTTCAGGTTTTTTTTTTTTTTTTTTTTTTTTTTTTTTTTTTTTTGGGGGGGGGGGGGGGGGGGGGGGGGGCTACCTTCTTGGCCTGGACGTAGCACGAAGCCTTTTCAAAACTTGGACAGACAGGCTGCCGAGGTTTTTGATGGTATTGTATTTTGTTCGCTGGATGAACGTAGCAGTGATATGGCAGCTGTCGTCGGCCATGGTTAGACAGTACGAGTGTGACGTTTCCGAGCAAGTAGACGATTGGAGGTCGACTTTGGTGGAGTGGAATGCGCATCCGACTTCAAACAGTTGGAAGTTTGAACATGAGTTTCTGATGTATTTGCAATTACGCTCTCTGGACTCAAAACCCATTATATATATGCCTTTTGGCTGTGTGCAAGTGGGTCGATATCACACACAGGGGTGGGGGCAGCCGCCGCTCAACCTACATCCACATGGGCGGCCTTGTACGCAAGAGGTTTGAACAGGGGGAGTTGTAAGTAAGAAGATAAAAAATGAATTGATTTTTTCTTGTTTTTTTTTCGCTTTTGCGCTCTGACATTTTTGTGACGATATATAGTATATACTAATTGGGATTGGTGACATGGTACATAAAGCAAATTGAGTATTTGGCAATTTGCGCTTCCTAACCCCTTCCCTCGCTTCCTGGCCCCCTTGCCTTTCTTTGCTTTCCGAGTCTGTATGGCAAACAGAGTGCAGGAGGTGTGTAGAAACTTAGAAAGGGGGTGCCTGAACCTGAGCATCCGGCCACTGGGACAAATTGCAGGAAAATAGGAGAAGCCGATGGCGATCTGATGACCTTAAACCACAGGTACATGGCCCCAACCTTGCAGAAGAAAGTTTTTGTCGCCACAAGCAAAACTCGGAGGGGCTGACTCGGAGGGGCTGCGCGGCGTGGGGTGCCGTTGAAAGAAAAAAAACGGCGGCCTCTGAATTGGTGCGGGTTTCGTGCTGACACCCGCGGGCCGATGTGTGGTGTACTGGTGCTTTAACACTAGCGCAATTAGGTTATAATCGGGTAACCTAAATGCACGGGAGGGGTGTAGAAAGGGTGCCTGAACCCTAACCTGAATGCTGACCAGATTCATCAGTGCGGAATGAGGTTAGCTGGTGCACATTTAGTTTATATCTGAAATTAGCGTATCAGAAAAACGTAACTGCGCACTGATAATGCTGAATATGCACTGAAGCTCAACATTGCTGGCAGGACTAAATTCCAAGTCCTAGGGGTTCCTCAAAACCATGTTCTGCTTCAGTCTTCTTACTGACTGATGAATTTTTCACACCTTTGAATGCGCGTCGCTGGCTTGTTTCTGGATGTATATTATCTTTTTCTTCCCTACCCTCTCCCCTCTCTTTTTCTTGAGGTGTCTGTTGGTTTCCTTCTCAGTGAATGGCTGATATCGTTTCCATTCGTTTTGCTTATGTGAGGCAATTCTCTGTTTATGCCGTGCCTACCGTTGTGTGTTATTCCTTCCATGTGTGTGTGTGCGTGCGTGTGTGTGTGTGTGTGTGTGTGTGTGTGTGTGTGTGTGTGTGTGTGTGTGTGTGTGTGTGTGTGTGTG